GCTCACGGGGCAGCCGGCCAGGACGCTCGGTCCCCAGTCTCCAGACTGCCCAGACGACGTCCCGTCTAGCTCCTCCAGAACGGCTTCCCCTTACCTCCGGTCACTGCCGCGTGACGTTTCCCATGAGCAATTAGCCGTGGTACATTTTTGCTGATACCGTCGACAGCCACCATGCGGTCGCTATTCGCGCCAGTGACCTTCTCCAAATCTACTCCCAAATCTACCTAATCTTTCTGCACATTTCACCTTGGCCTTGGTTTAGTATTCAGTCAACTTGGTATTGTCAGTGAACAGAAGGTCTGAAGCAAGGCTGGTATGGTGGAGAGAGAAGCAGTGTTGTGGGAGGTGGGAGAACCATGGTGCAGGAGAAGAATGAGGTTCAGCTGTCCTCGCCGGAAAAGGGGCGGTTGCGTAAGATGATCCGCTCGGGCAGGAGTTCGGCGCAGGCGATGACCCGGGCGCGGATTCTGCTGAAGATAGATGAGGGTTGGAGCGCTCCCCAAGTAGCCGCTGCTCTGGACATCTCGGAGCGGACCGTGTTCCGGGCCAAACGGCGGTACGCCGAGGAAGGGTTGGATGAGGTGCTGCGGCACCACACCAGTCCAGCGCAAAACTGCGGAGGTAGAGGACAGGGTGGAGGCCCACCTGATAGCCCTGGCCGCACGCCATCGAGGTCACGACCACTGGACGCTGCGCCTGCTGGCGGGCAAGGCGGTGGAGTTGGGGGTTGTTACGTCGTTGTCCCACGAGACGGTGAGGCTGCGGTTGAAAAAACGCCCTCAAGCCGTGGCAGAAGAAGCAGTGGTGCATTCCGAAGGTGAGCGCCGACTTCCTGGCCGCCATGGAGAATGTCCTGGATTGTACGCGAGCTTATGACCCGCATCAGCGGTGCGGTGCTGTTTCCGACGAGACCACGCAGTGCTGGCCGACCTTCGTCTCCATCCATCCCATGCAGCCCGGGCGGCCCAGACGGAAGGACTACGAGTACCTGAGGGCCGGGACCCGACAACCTGTCCTTACCGCGAGCCCCGCCAGGGCTGCGCCGAGTGGCTATTACCCAACAGCGCACCATGCGGACTGCGCCAGCATATGAAGTGGCTGGTGGATGACGCCTCTCCTGACGTTCCGGTGGTTCGAGTGGTTTTGATAACATCAATACCCACCGCAAGCGTCACTGTATCAGACTTCCGTCGGGAGCGGCGCGGCGCCTCGCGCGGAAGCTGCATTTTCACTATACGCCAAGCTGGCAGTTGGCTCACATAGCCTGCCCCGGCGTAGGCCGTAGGGAAATCGAATATTCAGCATCTTCTCCAACAAAACCGCAGCTGTCTGAAAAAGCGTCCCCAGACGAACGGCCCTGTGCGGGAAGTCATCCACGCCCTGGAACTGGAGCGGAACGAGCTCAAGCCGCGCATCACTGGCCGCGCGCTTCAACATCCTCGATGACCGCACCACACTCATCGCCTGTATCCCAAACATAATTCCTAACTTGACGATATAGTAGTTAGTCAAGGGAGAACATGTCAGCATAGCAAGAGCAGTGAGCAGTGCCTGGTAGCGTGATAGGTACGCGGTGTCAGTGTAGTGGAGGTGGGTTGAGGGTCCATGGTGCAGAGAAGTATGAGGTCAGGCTCTCATCAGAGGAAATAGGGTCATACTTTTTTGCGGAAAGTGGTCCGGTCGGGCCGGAGTTCGGCCAGGCGATCACGGCACGCATTCTGCTGAAGGTGGATGAGGGCTGGAGCGCTCCCCAAGTAGCCGCTGCTCTGGACATCTCGGAGCGGACCGTGTTCCGGGCCAAACGGCGGTACGCCGAGGAAGGGTTGGATGAGGTGCTGCGGCACCACAACCAGGTCCAGCGGCATCGGAAGGTAGATGAAAGGGTGGAGGCCCACCTGATAGCCCTGGCCTGCAGCCCATCCCCCGAGGGTCACGACCACTGGACGCTGCGCCTGCTGGCGGGCAAGGCGGTGGAGTTGGGGGTGGTTACGTCGTTGTCCCACGAGACGGTGAGGCTGCGGTTGAAAAAACGCCCTCAAGCCGTGGCAGAAGAAGCAGTGGTGCATTCCGAAGGTGAGCGCCGACTTCCTGGCCGCCATGGAGAATGTCCTGGATTTGTACGCCGAGCCTTATGACCCGCATCAGCCGGTGGTCTGTTTCGACGAGACCACCGCCCAGTTGCTGGCCGACCTTCGTCCATCCATCCCAGCAGCCCCGGGGCGGCCCAGACGGAAGGACTACGAGTACCTGAGGGCCGGGGACCCGCAACCTGTTCCTTACCTGCGAGCCCCGCCAGGGCTGGCGCCGAGTGGCTATTACCCAACAGCGCACCATGCGGGACTTCGCCCAGCATATGAAGTGGCTGGTGGATGACGCCTATCCTGACGTTCCGGTGGTTCGAGTGGTTTTGGATAACCTCAATACCCACCGCAAGGCGTCACTGTATCAGACCTTTCCGTCGGGAGAGGCGCGGCGCATCGCGCGGAAGCTGGAATTTCACTATACGCCCAAGCATGGCAGTTGGCTCAACATAGCCTGCCCCGGCGTAGGCCGGGGGCGGAAATCGAATTCAGCATCTTCTCCCGCAGCTGTCTGAAAAAGCGTCTCCCAGACGAAACTGCCCTTTGCCGGGAAATCCACGCCCTGGAACTGGAGCGGAACGAAGCTCAAGCCCGCATCAACTGGCGCTTCAACATCCTCGATGCCCGCACCAAACTCCATCGCCTGTATCCCATTAATTCCTAACTTGACCGAGTACTAGTGTCTATTCGTCGGTATGCCCCAACGCGTGGACACGCACGGCCCGCCGCCACGCTTCGCTCGGCATGACACCCACCCCGATCAATGTCTCCCCATGATTCTTGACCTCGGCAACGATGGAATCAAGGTAGGCGTCAAGGGTTCCTTCCTTGACCATCCGGCGCACCCCAGTCTTGTCATACGTTCGCATGTGTTCAACTGCTGTCTTCCGTATGGTCTTATCGCCGGGGTAGCCCCGCTTTTCCAGTGGTTTGTCTGTAACGTAGTTTATCGCCATTGTGTCTCTCCCACTTGCTATGCCGTCTCACGGGCCAAGAAATTGGCCCAAGTATCCATTAGGGCAATGCGCTTTGCCAGCAAGTCCGTGCGGTGATAAGCCTGCTCAACAGCATTGCCAACCCGGTGGGCCATGGACAACTCTGCAACGTCCCAAGGCGTGTCAGTTTCTTCCGCTACCCAATCCCTGAACGAAGACCGGATCCCGTGTATCGTCATTCTGTCGGCCAGTCCCGTAGTCCGTAGCACTTTCGTAAGGGTCATATCCGACATTGGCTTATCGCCGCTTTTCACTGGAGAAGGGAACACCAACGTGGACGGGTTCTCTTTTTGAAGCTCCCTAGCTTCGGCAACCACGGCAAGGGCTTCCGCTGAAAGAGGTACCCGATGTTCCACTCTTGCTTTCATGCGGGTGTCAGGGATTATCCAAAGCTTCCGCTCGGTATTAATCTCTGTCCAAAGGCAACCTCGTACTTCACCGGAACGGGCGGCGGTCAAGGAAAGGAAACGCACCGCTAGTTTCGTAACCTTTCCAGCCGTCGAAGCCTCAATTTGGGCCAGCGCACCAGCCAATTCACTGTAGGGCAACGACCGGAAGTGACGGTGATATACTTTCGCCGGCTGGATTTATAGCGAGGTAATCGTTGGCAATGCCCCATTCAAAAATCGACCGGATGATTCGGCGTAGCCGCCGTGCTGTTTCGGGCTTCTCAGTCCAAATGGGTTTCAGTATGGCAAGTACATCCTGCCTCCCAATCTTGTCTACCGGCAAGTCACCCAGCGTCGGGAAGGCGTACTTCTCCGCCCGTTGCAACCAATTCTTACAGTGCTTTGCATTATTAAAGCGGACTTCGTTCACCTTGTGGACTTCGAGTGTGAGAGCCTTGAATGTCGGCACAGTCGGTTCCGGCTTCGCTTCTTTCCTTGCTTCACGTTTTGCCGCCACTGGGTCTACGCCGGCCCTGACCGACTGCCGGTGCTTTTCCGCCAACCGGCGAGCTTCCGCCAGCCCCACCGAAGGATACCCGCCCAGGCCGATACTCTTTCGCTTTCCTCCGATGGTGGCCCGTAGAACCCAGGACCTTGCCCCAGCCGTGCTAACCCGGAATTCCAGTCCTTCGCCGTCAGAGTATGCGCCGGGCGTGGTGAGTGCTTTAACCTTTCCCGCCGTCAGTAGTGCGTGTTTGACGTTCGCCATATGTCTCTCCCCTTGTCTGATGTGCCGTTGGTTGTACCTTTCCTTTACAGACAGTCTATGTAGGGTGTCAAGACAATCCTAGACAATAGATTTGGGTTTTGTATCTGAGATTGGGATTTGGGGGGGCAGGCAAAGGAGGGTTGACAATGCAGGAATGGTGGCGACGGATGGATTCGAACCAACGACCTAGCGCTTATGAAGCGCCCGCTCTGCCGCTGAGCTACGTCGCCACCTAACAGGCCCACCGACCAGCCGCCAGGTGGCACCTAGGGCAATAATAGTAAAGGTGTCCAGGTACGGCTGTCAATTGGGGTGGAAGACAATTTTCTGTCGGTCACCCGGCAAATGAGAGAAATCATGACCAGTCCCCACACTGATTCCGAGAGCGGCAGGCTCGAATCCGAAGCCTCCGCACTGTTGTCTGATACTGCCGAACGACTTGAAAGACTGTTGGTTGAATTGGCAGGCAGTCTAAGACCTTTCCCTTCATTCTTGGGAATGGTTTCTGTGCAAGCGGTTGAGCTGGATCCACCTTTCAAATCCGTCATGGATTTGGGGTGTGTTGTTGTCAATCCGCAAGGGGAAATATGCCGCCTGGAAATCACATCAATAGAAGGAATAGCAGGTCTCACTGAAGCAGACCAAGTCGAGGAGTTCCAGGCTGTTGACCTTAGCCCGGCAGAGTACATCGTGTACGCCACTTCGGCAATCGAAGTTTTAGCTGAGGAGTTAAGGAAAAGAAACGGCTAGGGATTGGCCCTTGGAGCAGCTATTCGAGGGTTATGTCTCCGCTCTGGCCGCCTCTCTTGCTGACCAATCGCACCGCGCCAATCTGCATGCCGCGGTCAACTGCCTTGCACATGTCGTAGACCGAGAGGGCAGCTACCGTAACTGCCGTTAGGGCCTCCATCTCTACGCCCGTCTTGCCCGAGGTGCTAGCTGTGGCGGTAATGTTGACCAGGCTATTGGCCTCGTCTGCTTCCAGTTCCACGTCTACTTTGTTCAAGGGAAGGGGATGACAAAGGGGAATCAGTTCAGCGGTTCTCTTGGCGCCCATAATGCCGGCCAACTGGGCTATGGTGAATACGTCGCCCTTTTTGACCTGACCCTCAACTATCAATCTCAGAGTATCCGGCTGCATCTGTACTGAACCCCGGGCAACTGCCTCGCGATCGGTTACGGGTTTCCAGCCCACGTCCACCATTTTGGCTCGGCCCTGTTCGTCCAGGTGAGTCAATGCAATTCCTGTTGATGCAGCAGTTTGGTTGTCAAGACCGGGCATAAGGAATTCTCCTGAGAACTGTCGTTGAGTTGGGGGCTGGTCAGTCTTGCTACCCGAGACGAGCGGCTCTTAACGATCTTGGAGCCAGACTAGGCTCCGCACCTCTTGCATGGGACCAGTCCTGCCGCCAATGCTTCATCGTGGGAACTGAATTGAAAGTAACCACCCTCTACCGCAATGAATCCTTCGGTGAACTTGCAGCCGCGAAGGTGGAACGTCTTTCGATTTGAGGTCATGCTGGCGACATAGTCCAATTCCATGACGAGCGGAGTGCCGCCGTTCTCCAGTTCTTCCACCCGCTGCCGGAGTTCGTCAACCGCCCCCCACAAGTTCTGCATTGTCCGGTCCTGAATCATGATGCGTCCTCCGGCTGTTCTCTTCGTTAGTATATTGACCTGCTTTCTAGTTTTCCGGGAAGCGCGCACACCCCTCAGCCCTAGCCACCGATATGGTACATTTCCACTTTCTGGCGGGGATTTTGTATGGGAGCCAGTTCGGTCCTCTCTTCTGAATAGCGGTCAGAACGGATTCCCCAGATTGCCTGGATACGGTTATTCAGTTCTTCGTCAGTTGCTCCGGCCCGCATTTGGTCTCTCAAGTCTACGCCACTTGAGGCAAAGAGGCAGGTATATAATTTCCCATCGGTTGAGAGACGTGCCCGGGTGCAGTCGCCACAGAACGGCATAGTCACCGATGCGATTACGCCGATCTCTCCAGTTCCGTCCTTATAACGGTACCGGTTGGCCACTTCTCCTCGATAGTTGCTGTCCGCTGGTTCCAAGGGGAGTTCGGCGTCGATCTGTTTGATAATTTCTGCGGCAGGCACGACGTGGTCCCACTTCCAGCCGTTACGGTTACCTACGTCCATGTACTCGATGAAGCGGACTATGTGGCCAGTACCCTTGAAATAACGGGCCAACTCGACCAGTGAGTGGTCGTTTACTCCTTTTTGCACCACCGCGTTAATCTTGATGGGAGCAAGGCCGACTTCCGCAGCTTTTTCAATTCCGTCCAGGACTCGCTGCACCGGAAAGCCGCGTCCGTTCATTTGCTTGAAAATATCGTCATCCAAAGTGTCCAGACTTATGGTAACCCGCTGAAGGCCGGCGTATTTTAGGTCTCTGGCTTGCTGGGGCAGCAGGTAGGCGTTGGTGGTTAAGGTCAAGTCGAGGGAAGGATCGACCTCGAAAAAGCATGGATATCAGGCGGGCCAAATTAGTCCGTAACAGGGGTTCGCCGCCCGTAATCCGCAACTTGTTCACACCCAAGCCAACGAACAAGCGGGCCAGACGGGCAATTTCCTCGAAACTCAGAATCTCTTCCTTGGGCAAGAACTGATAGCTTTCGCCAAAAATCTCGGCCGGCATGCAGTAGGTGCAACGGAAATTGCACCTGTCGGTAACTGATATTCTCAGATCCCTCAGGGGACGTCCAAATGAGTCAGTTAAAGACAATTCTTGAATCCTTCGAAAAGTTAGGCAGAATTTTTGAGGTTAACTTTTACACGCTTTCGAGTTAGCGTTGCAAGACGCTGAGCGCGCGTCGCGCCGCATCGGCTCGGTGGCTGACCCTGTTCTTTTCAGCCATACAAAGCTGAGACATGGTACGGTCGAAGGACGGGAGATAGAAAACTGGGTCGTAGCCAAATCCCTCAGAACCTTGTGGCTCGTATTGTATCATTCCTGCTATGGACCCCACCACCGACACTTCCATTCCACCGGGTTCGCAGATGGCTATAACGCACCGGAACCGGGCAGTTCTCATTTTCCAGGGAACTCCCTGCAGAGTTGATAGCAGCAGCGCAACCCTGTCCTCGTCTGAATTGCAGGATTCCCCTCCGTAACGGGCAGAGTGTATCCCAGGGTCGCCACCCAGGGCATCAACTTCCAGTCCTGAATCGTCGGATAGTGTGAGCATGTTCCCCAGCACCGAATATGTACGAGCTTTCAGCCAGGCATTTTCATGAAAGGTACTTCCCGTTTCCTCAACGTCATGAGATATTCCTGCGTCGTCTAGGGATATCAGCTCGACAGGGAGGCCCCGAAACAGTTCCTGATATTCCTTAACCTTCCCTCGATTATGCGTGGCAACCAGCAACTTTTTCTTGTCCAATTATGATCCCTTCTTTCTGTGTGTTCCCTGGGAAACAGTTCGTCAGCAGTAATAAGACGCTGGCAACACCATAATTATTGCTTAACAACGGGTTAGATAACGCCTCTCTCCTCTAGGTCTGCCAAGCGCTTCTGATCGAAGTTTAACCAAGAACCCAGGACTTTGGAATTATGTTCACCTAATTTGGGGCCAGCCTGTTCCACAGCCCCGGGCGTTTCGCTGAATTTCGGAATGATGCCTGGCATTAGAGTCTTGCCGATTTCCGGGTCTTCAATCTCGATTACGTCATCCCGGTCCTGGTAATGCGGGTCGTTGACGATCTGGGCGCTGCCGTACACGGGGCCCACCACGCCGCCGGCAGGAACCAGTTCATCCATTATCTGGTCCAGCGAACAGGCTCCGAGCCACTGTTGGAGTATGTCATTCAGGGCATCTTTGTTTTCCAAGCGGGCCGCGTTGTTCGTGAAGCGGGGGTCAGAAAGAAGATGGGTTAGTCCCATAGCCTTGGCCAGCGCTTCCCAGGTGCTTTGGGATGTGGCAGATAGACCCAGCCAGTGTTCGTCCCCGGTGCGAAAGAGGCTGCGAGGCGCCGCGTCGGGAAAGTCGTTGCCTACCCGCTCCCGAACTACGCCCAGCAGGTCGTACATAGGTATATGAGGAATGCAGAGTCGGAACAGGGGTTCAAAAAGGCTGAGGTCAATAACCTGGCCCCCAATTTTGACGTCAGAAGCGCCTTGTGACCCGTTTACGGTTTCCCTTCGGTAGAGGGCCATCATCCCCGCCATTGCCCCGAATACCCCGGCTATTTCGTCGGCAAGGGGTATGGGCGGCAACACCGGTGGCGTGTCGGGGAATCCGGTCATTGCAATGTAACCACTCATGCATTCGGCTATGGTGCCAAAGCCCGGCCGGTCCCGGTAAGGGCCGGTCTGACCGAAGCCGGAATACCGCAGAATTACCAGGCCAGGATTTACTTCATGCAACTGCTCGGGGCCCAGCCCCCAGCGTTCAAGAGTCCCGGGCCGGAAACCTTCTATCAACAGATCGGCCTGCTTCGCCAAGTCCAAGAGTACCGCCTGCCCTTCTGCACATCCCAAGTCCAGCGTCAGCGATTGTTTGTTGCGGGAGTGAACCTTCCACCAAAGAGAAACCCCGTTGGCAAATGGGCCCCAGTTGCGAAGCGGGTCACCGCTGCCGGGTCGCTCCACCTTGACCACCTCGGCGCCGAAGTCGGCCAGAAAGCTGCTGGCTGTGCCTCCGGCAACTATGATGGACAAGTCAAGAACCTTTAGGCCCTTTAGGGGCCCGAATCCATCTCCGTCTCTTGCGTGAGCATACTGATTCTCTGTGGGCAATCCTTCACTCCCCTTTGAAGAAAGTCCTGATTTCTCGCATGACTTCCTTGGGATGTTCCATGGGCAGGAAGTGGGACCCAATGCCCATAGGTTTCACGGTAGCCCCTTCTACCATTTGAGTGAAACGCCGGACGCCTACGTCCTGCAGGGTTTGCGCTTCCGGGTAACTTCCCAGCAACAGAAGGAACTGCCCCCGCAGTTCGTCAAGATACTCAGAAACTTTAAGGGACTCTCGCTGCTCGTAAAAAGTCGCCTCTACCTCTGGCAGGCATTTCAGCTGCACCCGGCCGTCAGTGAGCAACCGAGTTCCTCCCTCGATATAAGATTGGAAGGCGACTTCGTCCCAGTCTTTGAAAACCACACGGCCCCGATAAGCCTGGTACATTGCCTCTCTGCTGTCCCACACCTCACGTTTCATGCGCGTCCGGTTGGCGCGTTCCTGTAATTCGCCTGGCGGGGCGTTTGCCGGACTTTCTCCCACCCGGGTTTCGGCAAGGCAAGCCTGGACGATTCTGTTAGGCAGTTGAGCGGCAGCCATCAGCGTTGCCAATCCACCTGAAGAATGGCCAACCACTCTCAGGTTCCAGAGGCCAAGAGCCTCAATAACGGCTGCCACGTCCTGTCCTACCAGTTCAAAACTGTACCCTCGGTCAGAGGCGTCCGTATCACCGTGGCCACGCTGGTCCAGGGCCAGCACGTGATAGTCGGCGGCCAGATCCTCGGCCAACGGCAGCCAGCAACTTGCACAAAGACCAGTGGCATGAACCATCAGAAGAGGCAAACTGGCTCTGTCACCCCATTCCAGATAGTGGTGCCTTATGCCATTAGCGGTCACGTAATTGCTGGTAATTTCCATACCAATAAAGTAAGAGATTCCCCTAATTTTCCCTTGACTGGGCCATTAAGGTAAAGCAATGCGCTATCGAAAACCATTCTAGCGGCCCTCGCAAGGGTTATCTACTGGGTTAAGTGTTGTCTACAATGTGGCTGGATTACGAAATTTGATTGTGCTCTTTTTCACTATCGGCTCTGATAGGCTTATGCTATAATTTTTTAGAACTGCTGCAAGGGAGGTCGAGCCTGGCAAAATGCTAGAGGACTACTTTCGGCAATATGGTTTGATCGCCATTTTCGGCTTGGTAGCCTTTGCAGTTCCTACCAGCTTAATCGCTGTTTCCTGGCTCAGCTCCCGCATAGGAATACGCCCCAGGAATCCTACTCCCGTCAAACTTGAACCCTACGAGTGTGGGGTACAAACTATTGGCGGCACCTGGAATCAGTTCAACTTCCGCTATTATCTGTTCGCTATCCTGTTTGTGATTTTCGACGTTGAGGTAGTGTTCCTCTATCCTTGGGCAACCAAGTTTGTCAGGCTAGAGCTATTTGCATTGATAGAAATGGCTGTCTTCGTCGGGATCCTACTGGTTGGTTGGGCCTATGCATGGCGGAAGAAGGACCTGGAGTGGGGGAACTAAGCGATGCAAATTCCATCTGGACAGGGTCAGCTTCACGACCGCACCTGGGGCATTGACCGAGAAGAGGGTCAACTAGTTAATGACTTGATAGCCGTCTCGACGGAGCCTATTGAGATGCCATCCATCGAGGTTCCTGCAGACTTGAAGAACAACCTGCTGGTAACTTCGGTAGATGCCCTGGTGAACTGGGGCAGAAAGTCGGCTCTGTGGCCGGTCTCCTTTGGGTTGGCCTGCTGCGCCTTTGAGATGATGGCTACGGCCATGGGCCGATTCGACATAGCTCGTTTCGGAATGGAAGCCTTTCGAGCTTCTCCGAGGCAAGCGGACCTTATGATTGTGGCTGGAACGGTTACGTGGAAAATGGCCCCGCCCATTCGGCGCATTTATGACCAAATGGCCGAACCGAAATGGGTCATATCCATGGGAGTTTGCGCCACCAGCGGCGGGCCCTATTACGGCTCCTACAGCGTAGTGCCTGGTGTGGACCACATCATACCAGTGGATGTTTACGTGCCCGGTTGCCCTCCGCGCCCCGATGCCCTGCTCTACGGCATTATGGAACTTCACGAAAAAATAAAGAAATACCACCATCTGCGAAAGACCGGAAGCCCTCTCCTGGCGGGCGGCAGCGATGCAGGTGAGGCCGAAAGCCAGTGATGGCCATGCGCGAAATTACGGGAAGGGAACTGGCTGACGCTGTAGCACAGACTTTTCCCGACGTCGTAGAAGCATCGGATGAATCGACGGTTTGGATTCGACCCTCACGGGTCAGGTCAATTGCTCAGTTCTTGAGAGACGATCCCGCTCTTGATTTTCAGTTCCTTAATTCCATCAGTGCCGTGGACTATGTGGAGTTTTTCGACTTGGTCTACCACCTGACGTCACTGCGGCAGCAGAGCACTGCGGTGTTAAAAACCCGACTTGTGGGCCGCGAGGGGCTTTCGGTGCCGTCGGTTTATCCAGTTTGGCGGGGCGCCGACTTCCAGGAGCGCGAAATCTGGGACCTCATGGGCATCAGGTTCGAAGGGCACCCGAACATGAAGCGGATAATGCTTTGGGAAGGCTTTGAGGGTCACCCATTGCGAAAGGACTTTCTGTAGCCGTGTTCAGGCATACGTTACCCATTTGGCTGCTCCGTCATGACGAGACATGTCCAGTACCATCGCCTCTGCTAACCTAATGGCTTTTTGATATGACGATTCGCACCGAGCCAATGACCGTCAACGTGG